GATTTAGTTTTTCTGTACCTGCACCTACATATTTTCCTGGCCAAGCCCCCTTTATCTTGTTTGTCCTGTCTACGCCCTAGTCCAGACAGTGGAGATGAGTGCGCCCGCTGCTGCTGCTGTTGGATTTAGCTCTGGGTTATGGTTTTTTGTTTGGGTTCTGGATACAGCTACTGCTTCTGCTTCTGCTCCGGCTCCTGTTTCTGGTGCTGCTGCTGCGGCTGCTTCTGGCGAACGTTAAGCACTCGCTAACGGCCCAGTGAACCGGTAATCAAAGCAAAATCACCAAAGCAGCGAACAACTTTTTATGCTAATTTGATGCGTTTCATGTAACAGTTGCTCCGCCGGTCAACGGTGTGCGTGTGTGTGTCGGTGTGTCTATGTGTCTGTGTGTGTGTGCCACACTAAACATTTTAATAAGCTTTTGAGAGCTGCCTTGCTTTAAGTTGAGCTAAGCGGGTTAAGCAGGACTTGAATTCAGCAGCACCTGCTCCAAACCGAATTTGTAGCTCAAAGATGGATTTTTTCATGCAGCTTCGCTGCATCCTTACAGATCTTAAGTTATACTCAAAACTTATGCAACTGGTAAGTTTTGTGAATGTAGCGACTTTTCAGCGTTTGCCTCATGCAAATGCGATGCAAAGGGGCATGAAAACTCTCAAGTTGGCCTCCCCCGTTGAGCGGCACTTCAAACTGCAGTTACAGCTGGGAGTGTGTGTGTGTTTTGGGGGGCGGGGGCGTGTCTACGAGCACTTGTCAAAAGTCAACTTCACATTATGTCAAGCAGCGTTTTTCCTTCCTGCCTGAGAGCTTTACTTTATATTTTCTTGAACATTTTGTTGCTGCAAGCCGGCGCTGGCAGGCGTCAGCCCGCAGGCACTTTGTGCCCTTGCTTCTGTCTACCACGCCCCTATTGTGTGCCGTCCTACCCCCACACACACGCACCCATTACCATGCCGCATAATGCGACGCCTGACATTTACGATATTCGTGGGCATATTTTTTTTTTGGCGCCGCCCGCCGCTTTTCGTGACTGTTTTATTTGGTATTAATGTGGTTGTTGGTGTTTTTCTCCTGTTGTTGTTGTTGGCAGCCCGCAGGTTAGCACATTATTTTCATAGCACACATTGTGGCGCTTGTGTCTCACACACAACTGGGCCACTCGCTCGTTCCGCCTGCTTAATTTGCGGTTGCTGCCGGTGGAGGATTCTGTAAGGATTCCCTAGTAAAGCTCTCCCTCTCTCACTTTCCGTCTCTCTCTCTCTTGTCTGCTCTAGAGTTGACGAATGGCTTTGGCGGCCAAAGGACCTGTCATTTTTCAGCAAAAATTGTGTCACCCGCACTCTGTCTGACATAATAAATGCCGCTAGATTTATTTGATATCTAAATAGGCTAGTCGTTTCGCCATTGAAGTCCTGTGAGAAATGTGCAGTGCTTAAGATACCCAGCCGGCAAGTTGTCCATAAGAGGTATGCCGAGCTAAGCCTTTGGCTTGAGTGCTTGAAGCTATAGTAAAAACATTTGAGATGAGGAATTATAAGACGGTCATTGAGGATCATGGAAAGCTCTTGCAATATTAATGTAATTGTAAGTAATACATAAACTAATTCAAATGCCTTACTATTCTTTTAATATATTTGTATATATTTTAGCTTTTCATTTTACAAGTTTTCTTAAATGGACACATTGGGTTTATTTTAGATATCTTTTCAAAAGGTAACAAATATTTTTAATATTTATGAATCCGGGAAACCCCGTCTATTACCTTTGCAATTTTAATTTAAATACCCGTTCAACCACTCCTTGTCACAGGGTATCTTCCAGCAATTCTTTCTCCCTACTTAAGCTTAAGCTCTTGCTTGATTGCGTATGCGTAGAGAGGTCTTTGTTTGGGCATATCTTCGCAAAATTGAATTGATTGATTGGTTTATAAATCAAGTAAAATTCATCGCCATCGCTGAAAAGCTGGTTGAGCCTTGCGAGTCCCTTGAGCCCTTGAGCCTGGGTATCAACTTCTTACTGTTCATAAGGCTGCCCAAACAAATTCATTTCGTATGCCGCATGCTGCACTCTCTGTGATTCGTTCGTTGTTGTCACACGTAACCCTCAACCCACCCACCCACACACACGCACACTCACACACTCGGGCGAAAAAAGTGCCCATATTTATCCGCTGTTGAATCATTTAAGCCGCATTAAATGAGAACGTTGACGACGTATGGCAAAAGCGAAAAGTTATGCGACTTTGTTTGCACAAAAAACGGCAACTGCAACTGTAAAAGCAAATGGCAACTGTAGCATGCCACATGCCACTGCCACTGCTACTGCAACTGCAACTTGCCTCATCTCTTGGTGTTTATTTATTTATTCAGCGCTGAATTTTATTTCATTTCAGTTTATTTTCATAAGAAACTTACTTTCGTTTTTTCTTCCATTTCCTGTGCGCATGAAACAAACCATAAACAAGAGAGAGAATTTCTCGCGGCACACTGAATACCCTATGCTGCAAATTGTTCCAATAGGAAATTGTTCATATAGTCTTTCGACTAAACTGAGAGACAGTTGTGGCTTTATCGACACAGCTGTTGATACTGATCATGAATATATATATATCTATTATATATATCTGCCTCCGTGACAAAGCTATAATACCCTTCGCCAGGGTGTTAAACCAAAAAAATGTCAATACACAAAAAAAAATGTACTCAGAGGATGTTGAGCGAACAAAAAAACGTCACTATAACAATAAAATCCTCTTACACACACATGCATATATTACACACACACACATACACGCACGCACACTCGAATGAAGGCTGCGTTTTTGTTGCTGCTGCTTTTCACTTTTGCCATTTGTTCTGTCACTTCCGGCGGCAACAACAAATGTATATATATAAACGAAAAAAATAAAATGGCCGCCCGCATGCTGCTTCCGTTGGTCTCCACTTGCCGCTGCCTGCCGGCCTACAACATTGTTGTAGTTCTATTTGTTGTTTTTATTGTTATTTTTACCCCTTTCTAGCATACCCCTCTCTCCGCTGCTCCCCCTACAGTCGCATTCACTGTTGCCTTGCGCCAGCAGCGTTTATTAAATGTCACACTGCGAATTTGGCAACAGCCGCCGAAGGCATAGCTGTAACCCCACCCACTATCCGCGCCCATTCTCATTCCTGGACTATCTGACATCCGTCTGGCATTCCGGCATTCTGGTCCTGACGCGCTCTCGCTCGCCCAAAACACAATGGCACTCGACGCGTTTGGAGATTTCACTCACTGCCTGCCGTTTGCTTGTTTGTGCTTCGTGCTGCATGCCCCATGCCGCATGCCTCTTGCCGCGCGGAAAGCTTTTGTTTTTTGTTGCTGATGTTGCTGCGTCTCGTCTCGGCAAGCATTTGCTATTGTTGTTGCCCTTAAGTTACATATTTTTAGTTGCTTAGCGATATGCCACGCCCTCCGCCTCTCACTCTAGCTGAAGCACTGCTGACAGCTCCCTAGGCTGTCAGTCAGTGATAATTTCATTTATTCCACGTTTCCTTTTGCCGCTCTTTTTAAAATCAAACTTCCTCAGCTTTGGGATTTTGATTGCCAGGCCCACGTTTCGTCTCCATATGGAGTTTTTTTCCCTAAATTCAATTACGAGCTCTTGATATACCCTAACAAAATATATAAATCTTATTTTAATATTTTCAAGTGGCTTTTTAAGGCAAGCGTAATTAAAAGCTTTCAGATTTATGTAAGCTTTACGGCTTGCAATTTATACTATAACAAAAATGTGCTTAAAATCTTAATGTTGGCTTTATGTTGCATAACAAGAGCTTTAAGTTGAGCTTTCAGCTTAATGCTTTCCACTTACTGAGCTTCTTAGCTGGAATTGTGCTTAACATTTATTATTATTTCATCAAATTAATATGTATGCATTCAAGTAGAGTATTCAGACTGCGTTCTGCCTTTTGCTTCGTAATTCTGGGTTCGCTTTTATTTGACAGGCCTGTTTTCTTGTAGCTTTTGTTGATTTACATGACTTTTATTCCATGTTGCGTATCCGTAACGTTGAGTTTGATTTGCATACTTTTGAGCTGGAAGCTGTTTTGCATAATGAAATCGCAATAAAAATACTGCAATAATTTGTTGAAAAGTGTGCATTGTTATTAACTTATGTTTACTATCATTTCGCAAATTATTTAAGCACATTTGTTGCTGGGTTTTTGCTTACTACTCGTTTATTTGCAGCAAGCATGAAAGAAATCACAAAAAGAAAGAAAAATCAGTATTTATTTTTAATTATTCGACATGAACTGAAACCCAATTCTGCAGGCAGCTGTTGCCTGCTGCAAAACAAGCAAAAATTGTAATTAAATTGCAATGAAAATGAAATGCAATTCTCCAATTAAATGCAAAATGTGCCAGCGCATAAAATATGCCACAGCACAAGAAGGAGCAGAGGGTCTGCTCGCCCCCACCAGAGAGTCCCAGTCGAAATGGCAGCCCGGCTGGTCAGAAGGCAACAAGAGCAAAGCAAATACACAGCACAAAATATTCAATTACAAGCAAAATTTGTGGAAAGCCCCAACAAGAGACAACAGATGAGGACAGCGGGTTGGTGTGGAGCTGGTGCGAAAAAGCTTAGGAAAATGTGTACTAAATAAAATGTAGCCTCAAGTGTTTTCAAGCTGTTGAAAGTATGCGAACATGGCAGCCGAGTGAAGCTGGCTGGCAAAGAAAATGCCAGCTGCCAGCTGCCAGCTGCGAGCTTCCATGTTCGCAGTTTGGGGCACTCGAGAGGAGTGGGTGGACGTGGGTTTAGAAGTTTGCTTAGGTGTTGGCCACTTGAGATACCAAACGAGCCGACACATGATGCGCTCCGGTTTCAATTAGTGAAATTAAATGTTCTTATGGGATTCCAATTTGACTTGCTTCACAATCCAAGCAGACATAAATATAATTCGTTTCTACAGGCGCTGGTCTTCAATTTGTTTATATATCTTTTGCTTATTTACTTGCAGAACACAGCGGAGCCTGTCTACTCGCCCACCATGGCCGGCGGTCTGTTTTCGATAGACCGTGAGTTCTTCGAGCGTTTGGGCACCTACGATTCTGGTTTCGATATCTGGGGAGGTGAGAATCTGGAGCTGTCCTTCAAGACATGGATGTGCGGCGGCACACTCGAAATTGTGCCCTGTTCCCATGTGGGACACATATTCCGCAAACGTTCGCCCTACAAGGTAAGTGTCCATGTCCCAATCTGCTGCACTCAGTGCTCATTAACGCTCATCCCAAAGGCGATTGCAAACCATTTGAGAATTTAAAAATTTTGCACACAAGCAGCTGTGATATGTGTGTGTGTGTGTGTATGTATGTGCGAGGTGTGTGCGCGTGGTCGAGGTTCGTGTTTGGTCAACAGTGGCCCTATGCGGTTCCCTCTGTGCACATGTCGCACATGCCAGCCGCAGCAGCAGCAGCAGGACATAAACACGTAACCAAACGCAGACCCAAACCCTAACCTCTGCACGGACAAGGACATGGACATGCTCTGCGGCTACAGTGCCTCAGCCTTTGGCTGTTGCCTCAATTATCAACGGTTTACGCTTGACAAAAGTTTGGCAACTGTTGTGTCTGTCAGTGTGGCAAGTTCTGCATTAAGCTGCAACGAACTGCATAGATACCTGCCAATAAGATCCAAAATAATAACAAGAAATTTGGAGTAAGGACAAGAGGAGCATGAAAGCAGCTACAGTTATGGGCAAATAAGCCATTTAGGAGCTGCAGCAGAGTTGTTTCATGTTTTATTCATGCGACCAACATTTTTTCCCACAATTTCAATTAAAGCTCTGTAGTTCGAGTCTATCGATTTACTAAGAGGTTCTACTAGGTAGTGATTGATCATTTTTTTAGATAATTCATTGAAAAATGCAGACTGCTTAAAATTACTTCAAATTTTATAAATCGATTAACAGTCCAGAAGTAACACTGCAGCTCGATAACATATCGAAAAAACAATACACTCTTGTAATGATTGATGATTAAACTATGAAAGTTCAATGCGATAACTTATTGCAAGAATCGATCATTTATCGATAACAATTCATTCCGATAGCCTGTCGTAAGGACGCTACAAGCCCGCTTTCACCCACTTTCGCTTAGTTTAATGGAAATGTGTATAATCGACAGGTAGCTGAACGATTACTTTAGAAATGTTATGAAAATATTAATTTTCCAAGTATTAACGATAGTGCATAAAGGGTACAAGCTCTGCATAGTAGCGTGCATTCTACTTGCCACTGGCCCACCTACTTCATATGTGCCTTGCCACAGGCCTCACAAAACTGGCAAGGACAACAAACACGAAGACACACACACACACACACACAGTAAATGCATAAACAAGAACAATGCACAGCAAAGTGGGTTGGGGAAGACAGATAACCGCAGAGACGCACCACAAAAGCAACCAGCAGCAGCTGCAGCTGCAGCCACAGCTACAGCAGCAAGTGGACAACCGGCAGAAGTTGGTACACATGACGTTAACCGACTCATTCAGGTAATTAGGCTGCCCTGCTGCGCCCTCCTTGTCCACTCGGCCTTACGATAAGCTCTAGCTGCAGCTTTTGATTCAGATTCAACTCCATTGTATAAGCCCGAACTGTTTGTTTGTCAAATATTTTCACTGGCTTTTGGCGCCGCTGCTTTGTTGTGCCAGTTGCAGCCCAATTGTTGCTATGTAAATTCAGCTATCTTCATCTCCGCTTCTACCCCCCTCTTCTCCTCCATCTCTTGCAGTGGCGCACGGGCGTGAATGTGCTGAAAAAGAATTCGGTTCGTCTGGCTGAGGTCTGGATGGACGATTACTCCAAGTATTACCTTCAGCGCATTGGCATGGATAAAGGCGACTTCGGTGACGTTAGCGAACGCAAGAAGCTGCGGTAAGTACCCAGAGAAAGTGTTTACAAAGAGCTATAAGATAGTCTCGGAGTCTTCTCTTCCTCGTATAAAGTCTTCTATTCAAAACTATTTAGCTAGTAGATAGTCTCATTTTTATTTGTATTTGTGCATATGCTCGTAGTTTGTATTCGTTTTTTATTTATTTTTTACTTTGCAACTCGTGTCGTACGTTACACGACTGCGCCTCTCGGTCAGTTGGGAGGGAGGTGGGATGCAGTACATTGCATCGGGATTCGTTTATATTTTTAACCTATCTCATGAAAATGCCAGAGCGCATAGTGTAAATAAAGATATAAAAAGACAATTAATTTGGAAATTTATTAGAAACAAACCTAAAATATAGAAATAAAAATATTTATTTTGCTAATAAAAGGACAATATACAAAGAGCAGCTAAAGCTTAGTCCATCAAATATTTGGGTTTCATTCGAGTCATTAGTAAGTTTATTAAATACAAATCAAAGCAGGTTTTGGTCGCACATAAAAGGGCAAAGGAATAAAATGTTGGGTCTATTTAAAGATATTTTTGTAACCAATCAGAACCAAATTCGAATCTATTAATTGTTTGGTCTATCTCTAATTTTTTAACTCTAGCGAGGATCTGAAATGCAAATCTTTCAAATGGTATTTGGACAACATTTATCCGGAGCTCTTCATACCCGGCGATGCGGTGGCCAATGGCGAGGTAAGTTGCACGTGTTCTTCTTCTTTAGGCACGCAGCTATCGTGCAGCATGTGGCATGTGTGGAAAGTGGCTATATATCCGAGATATGGCCCCATCCTCCCCCCGTTGTACCCGGCGATCCGAATACAGACAACACAACTAACCCATTAATGTGCCATTTTATGGTTATAACAAACCGAACAACACACATACATGTATATTTCCCAATTCGCAGATAAGGAACTTAGGTTATGGCGGTCGCACCTGCTTGGACTCGCCGACGGGCAAGCGGAACATGAAGAAGCCAGTTGGCCTCTATCCGTGCCACAAGCAGGGTGGCAATCAGGTTTGTTACCACCAACAGCGAAGAACAACAGCACTGCGACCGCCACAAACTCCGTTGAAGCACAAAACCGTCAAGATGTATCCATATATATATATACATACATATGTGTATATGCATATACATATATATATACCCGTCTTTATGTTGACTGCGAACCCCTACAGTCTTGCCCGCTCCCACAAAAACAAAACTACTAATTCCACTACAATTTAACTTTGGCGCATGGGGCGATAGTTTTTTACTCACAGCTCCTCGATAACGATAACAATTACAGCTGCCGCCCGTTTTCTAACACTGTTACTGTTGTGTTGTCACCAACACTGTTATACTGCCCACTCTCTCGCGCTCTCCCATTTGACAAATCCAACTTAATTTACAGATTAAAAGCATAAACACGGACATGTGCGTCGATGCTCCAAAGACCGGGGACGAATCGCCTGTCGGTGTCTACCCGTGCCACGGCCAAGGAGGACATCAGGTATCCAACTCCACATCCAACAATTCAAACTGCCTTGTCACGCCCCCACCTGTGGGGGCGGTGGACTGTCATCAACATATTTTTACACTGGTTTCGGCTCCATCTGCTATCAGTCTTTCGAGTGCTTCGCCGTTGTTTTGCTTAAAATAATCGCCAGTAGTTAGTTGTAGACTTAATTTGTTCGCTTGCTTCTTTAACCAATTGACTCTATACAACACTTAAAACTGGTACCGATTTTGTATGCATATTATGGACATAAATATCTAACATTTAGGTAACTCCAAAACATACTTTTCGGGTTTCTAAACACAATTCAAAACTCGTATTGAACCTGATTACAAGCATACAAATCTGCATTTTAAGAACCAAACTAATGATCAAAATATTCTCTTATGTGTTAACATTTTATGGGTACACTTTTTAATAAACAAATATTCTCCTAAAGAGCTATACAAACTAACCTAAAGTTAATTTTTTTCAAATGTAATTTACTTTTTACTTCGTTATTATTGTAATATTAATATGAATTAATTTAGATACAACTTTTGAGCTAGTTCTTGTGAGTTTTTTATATATATATATTGTGAATGTTTTTTTTTAATTTTCGTTTACTTTTATTTACAAAATGTTTTTTGAATTTTTAAGTTTCAATCTTAAGCTCAACTTTGCATCCGGCTATGATTTCTTTTCTTTGTATTAAAGTTTGGTGTACTTCCAGTCGATAAATCAGAGATATTTCCTATAACCTTTAACACTTCGCTCTTCTCAGAAGGCTACTCTGGTTACTTTTTAAATAAATAAGTTCGTAAACTTGGTGTTAAGCACTTTCTAATGCTCCTTTTCGCTCTAATCTAATACCAGGTTTTATAGGCCAACATTTAAGTGTATATTCATATCTTCTAAATAAAATTCCCCCCTTTGAATTTTGTGAATGTTTCCCCCTACTGCGTTGTTGCGATTCTGGCCCTGGGAACTTTGCAATCTTTTTTTTTGAAATTGTATCCCTTAGCCTCATACTTCGTATAATACTCAACAAAATTTTGATAGTCCTGCGGTTTTGAACACTAATTTCACGGAGTTTGTGGTTTAAGAAAAAAAATTGTTGTTCTTTGTTAACGTTTTCTTAAAATTTTCAACGTTTTTAGCATTTATTTAACCTTTAGCCGTAGCCTAAGTGAAAGTATTATCAAATTGTTTTTGTTATTGCCACATAAAGAATGTTGCCAAAATGGCGTGTAAACTGCATTGACAATAATACAGGACACAACAGACAGACACGCATAACACACACACATTACACACACAACTACACACACGCAACACACGCATTGGGAATTGAGATTTATGCAACGTAGCAAAATTAATTAAATCGCAATCATAAATAAAATGACAAAAATGATAAATCATTTCCATTGCTCTGCTTTTGCCGGCTGCGTGTTGTGTGAGACTTTTACACAACCAGCAACAGCAACTGCTACAACAACAGCGACAACTGCGACAGCAGCAACAATTACAACAACAACAACAACAGTAGCAGCAGCAGCAGGAAAAACTGTGACAATTTTACGAACATTTAATAACAAGCATTTCGACAACAAAAACATATCAACTGCAACGCACACACACACACACAGAGGGAGAAAAACTCTAAACACACACATAGATACATTCTGTGGTCGTCTGTTGTTTATTTAACATTAAATGGAAAGTGTTGACCTCGTTGCGCGTCGTGCAGCGCACAAAAACGCACGAAAAATCGCTAGGCGGCTGCTTGCCACGCCCCTCGCGCACACCTTCAACTGGGCCGCCCAGCCCATTGCAATGCAGCAAAACGCCGCAAAGAAGGAAAAGAAGCAGCAAAGCTGTCATTTAAATAACTAGCTAGACTACATAAATACCCTGTAAAATCCAATAAGCGCATATAAAGCTAGTAGAACCCACATCAAATGAACTACTTCTTAGTTCACATATACCTCTTTTAGCAATTTACTGTAGGGTATTTAAAGGCAACTCGGATGTGAAAACGCGACTGGATAAAATAATCAACATTTGCGAGCGTTGAGGACACCAAATGTGTGGGCGTGGCAAATTTTAATTTCGCGCATTGCAAACAACACAAAAAATGAGGGGAGGGGATGAAAAAAACTATTTGCATGGGCAGGGGGTGGGCGGAGGGGCAGCAGACATTGCACAATTCTTTTGACTGGCGCCGCGTCAAAGGATCGCTCGGCTAGCCCAGTCCTGTGCCGGCAACAAAAACAGCTAAAAAGCCGCGCAATATAATGAAAAAATTTTCATTTCATATCTGCGAGCGGGTCTAGAAAAAAATTTGTAAAAATTGTAGCGCAAAAATTTTGCTTCAGCGCTTATAAAAAACACATTACGAAGAGAAAAAATTCCAAAAACAGAAGCAAAAAAATTTAAACGTAAATGAAAAAGATACACACATAATTAAAAATGCAACACGCTGCAAGAAAAGAGAAAGCTTTTTACCAAAGAAAAGCCTGGCAAAAGGGTTTTAAAGAAGGGAAATGCAAATGTAAACCGAGCAAATGAAGGACACACACAGCAGGCAGGCAGGCCGGCAGACGGGTGGGCGGGGAGTGGCATACATATGTGGCAGGCGGTGGTAAACGAGTAAAAATGTTAAATGCAAATATAGAGTGAAGCCAGAGGGCGGCAAACACATGGAAAACGTCGGTTTTAACAGTTATTTATTTATGAAAATTTTAAAGAAACTGTGCGCCTGGTGGAAACTCAAAGAGAATGGGATTGGGAGGGAATGTCAAGGATTAAATGGGCTGGGCGATATTTTAGATGCATATCAGATAGGCGATATAGTTGCTAGCTTGCTAGCTTGGTAAGTTTATCTTTTAGCAGAAATAGAAAACTGTCAAATTTTTACTCAATCAAAAATATACTCAAACTTAATCAAAGCTAATAAATATGCGTGCCCTATAACTACAGTATGAGCCATTATGAACTAGATTTATCAAGCTTAACTAAATTATTATTAATATTTAAAGTTATTTTAAACCAAATCAATATAGAGGTTCTGGTCAGCATTAATATATAGACTGTATATAAATCAAAAAGAGTTTTAACTGTTAACGACAATGGAATACATTAATATTTATATGAAGCTCCAATGTTTCAGTTGCCCAAAAGTTGCTCCAAAAGTTGGCCAACTCAGCTGTTAACGAAAAGAATAAAAGATAAAGTCAATTGTCAGGGTATCAAAAGAAGTCATCAACTCGCCAGTTTCACTGAACTCTTAACCAATTTCCGCACATACCATTAGAGTGTTTGGACCTAAAACAAATGTCAGCATTGAAAATAATGTTGCAACATTACAAATGTGTGCTTGCAGCGCTGTGGCAGCAAAGCACAATAAACAAACCGAAATGGCATTCACATGGCCAACATCATCAGCGCGGTCAGTTGTGGCAAGCGGATGCGGAAATAGTAACACAACAAAATGGCGGCCGAGCAGGCACAACGTGACCCTTGGCCACAATAAAGGCCAGGCCCAGGCCAGGCCAGCTGCTGGCAACGTGGCTTAAATTATAAATAATCATGGCAAAACCGCAGACAAAACACAGACACACACACACACAAAACACACACACAGACAGCCGACTGGTAGCAGCTTTTGGCATTTAATTTAATATTAAATAATACTAAGTAATGCGGCTACTTGGCTTAAATGTTATGCAACAATTTCTCGCACTTGCTGCCGCAATTTGTATTAATGAAAGTTTTTCTCTCTTTTATCTGCGCCCCACTTATTATTACACCTGCGTAGTATTGGATGCTGAGCAAGGCTGGCGAAATACGACGCGATCAATCCTGTCTGGACTATGCCGGCAAGGATGTGATACTCTTCGGCTGTCACGGTTCCAAGGGCAATCAGGTGAGTATTTACCCGCACATAATTATATATTATGTATACAATAAATAATACTATCTATTGCAGTTCTGGACATATCATGAGAACACGAAGCTGTTACATCACGGCTCCTCGGGCAAGTGCCTGGCCATCAATGAAGGCAAGGACAAGCTCATCATGGAGGAGTGCGATGCCTCGCATCTGCGACAGCACTGGCTGCTGGAGAACTACGATAGCTCCAAGTTGTGAGGCTACTTCTATGCGAAGGGCACCATACTGGTGCCCACATTGCAGAGCATGCGCGCATAGCAGGACATTCAAGGATACTGAACAGGAGCAGCAGCAGCAGCAGCAGCCGCAGCAGCAGTAGGCGTAGGATTAGATGTTAACAATAATTTTTAATCAAGTGACACGGCCTGCGAGAGTTGTGCAATAGGCAGTAGCAAAGTATTTGCCATGGCTTTTAACTAAAGCAGTAACACGTACACACACATACACAGAAACACACACACAATAAGGCAGTGCATACTATCAGTAATTTATATATACACATTTTTATGTCTATTCCAATTAAATCATGCGATAAACTTAGCTGAGTTAGTTTGTAAGCGCACATGCAAGAAAGAGAACGACTGTTGTACAGTAGATCTTAAGTTTTCCAAGCGTAGCACATTTAAAAATTAATGAATATATAAATATAGTTATTTAAAATGTAATCTAAAGAGTAGTTAACCCAGCTGGGTTCAACTAGAAAGTCGTAGCGCAATTTTTGCATTTACAAGTTAAAACTTTTTAGCACAATTTTTTAAGGCAAACTTTATGTGTCCTTTGCCTGTGTGTGTGTGCGAGAGTGATGTGTGTGTGTAATTGACATTTTTGAAATTGCACAAGGCCAATAACCGAGTTGTGTTGTGCAGTGCATATATGCATATATGTAATATTTATATATATATATGTATATGCATGAATATATATATATTTTACTATTAATGAATTCTCCTGACATCTAAATGGCTTTGCAAAAGTCGCGTTCCAAATATGTTTTAGTCCGTAAGTCTATTGTTATTGTAGTTTGGAAAGCATTTGGTGATTATGCCCCGCCCCTCGCCCGATATACTTATGTGCCCGCCGCCCTTAGCATTCCCAATTGTCGACAAGTATGTACTTATATGGCACCATCCATTGCGTTAGCTATTTGCTTTTATTTATTTTGTTTTTAAGCTGAAATTCTAAATCGAAACATTTGAAAGAAAACAAGGAGACCTATGCCAAATTATATTTAGAGGGCTTACTTATAGTTATTTTTTTATTTAAAAAACAAAAAAAATTAATTTCTTGTGAGTTTTGTTGTGAACAATGACAACATATCCCGTTTGTTAGACAACGCCAGCTTGTAGTGGATACCTTTTGTATGTAGTATATCATCAGTTCAGACAGACTTATGGATATCACTAAAGTATAGAGCTAGGTACTTAATGTTAAGACACAAATATGCAATAGTGCCTTCTACTTTTTACTAACATAATATGCAAACACAGCATACCAACATAATTGTTTATCTCCCAGCTTCAATGGGTATAATTTAAGTGACAAGCAGAACCGACTGTAAATATCTATAAACTGTACAATTTTATATCGCAAATGTAAATAATCAAACATGGTCGAATAGCAGACACATAATAAATACTATTATTGGCTAGCCACTAATCTTGAACATACATATATCACGATATAGTGTCATGTCCTGTTTGATTTGCGATCGCACCCACATTTACAATTAGCGTACAGAAGCCATAAACGTGGTCAAGAAATTTTTGATAATGATACAATAATACCCTAAGTGCGTAGTGAATGTTTAGTACTTAAGAAATTGCGCAAGCTGTACAAGGACACAAAAATAGTTACAAATAAACAAACCCTTCGTGTACTGAAAACCCGTTTCGTCTATTAAAAGGCTATGGTCACTCCAAAGTGTTCGTGTACTGACTAAAATGTACCAATTTCAGTACCGATTAGATTGTGCACAAACCGGTACCATAAATTGGTTTCTGAAAATGAAAAACACAAAATGTCAAAATTAAAATTAAAATTGAAATATCTCGGGTCCGATTTCGAAATGATATACCACTTTCTTCTCGTACGGATCCCGACTATCGATTGACACCAAAAAATCTGAATTCTAAGAAATGGCCCAATTTGAGAAAAACTACTATGTTTTTTGCAAAAATTACGATGTTGGCTGAAAATGGCTGTGACCACGAGTCGAACGAGACCAATCTTTCCAAGATCGGGGCTTATTTGGCCGAGATACAGCGATTTAAAATATGCGAAAAATGTCGTTATAATTTTGAGAATTGTCGTTTTTTTCGATAATTCGGCTAAAAATGGTCCGATTTTGGAAATTTGGCATATGGCATTTGGAAACTGGCATACCACGTTTTTTGTATGAAAATCCAAAATTTGTGAAAAAAAAAATGTTAACTTAACAGTCGGATGTTCAGTGGCAGCGGCAGCTATAAAGTCGCTGTTAACTTTTAATTTTTGATTATTTTTTGTTGTCCTCCTTGCTCCCCTGTACGCCTGGTATTTCAGCTGAATATTCATTTAAATTTCGTCGTTATTGCAGTGGAATTTCAAGACCGATAATGTTTGAATTTTTTTTTGGTTCGCTGAAAGAAAAAGCACACTTGTTTTTGGAATATTTCCGTGCAAGTTGCGCAAGGACTTGGTCCTTTAGGTTCACCAGGTTTATATCAATGGTATGGTATAACCAAGAATATTGCGGTCAACTAGAAACCATCGTGGTGGGAGGGGCTGCAGCTGGGGGCGGCTTGAGACCAGTTCCTTGAGAATTTCGCAGAGTTCTGGTCCTTAAGGTTCACCAGGACTATATTAATGGTATGGTACAACCAAGGATATGATAGTCATCCAGGAACCATCGACAATGATTGTTTTGCAATTTTAACTTAAGATATTCATTTTCAAGACAATGTACATTTTTTATAAAAATAATTATAACCTAGCAGATTTTTAAAGGATATGGTGCGTTATCGATGCTTCTTAGATCTGCATTCAAGGATATTGGCGTCATCTGAGGATGAGCTCTAATTTTTATTGTAAATCGTACAATTCATTCGTATTCGTATCATATCAGTTGAGCTAAACATTTGCAGTCTGCTTGATCCAGGACCTCAGGGCGCCCACGTATGTGTACATGGCTGGGCGACCCTTGGCGCCGCACCCGAAGCCCCAGGAGACAACGCCAAACAGTTTGCCATCAACAGTCAATGGTCCACCAGAGTCACCTTGGCAGGAGCTGACCTGTCCGCTAGGATGTCCGGCACACACCATGCGATCCGTGAGTCCAGGTATGTTCTGGGCATTACAGAAGTCGCGACTCCAGAGCTGCACCTGTGCAAACTTAAGGCGATTCGGCAGCTGTAGATTCTGGTTGATGGCGCCAAATCCGCTGATGGTGGCCAAGGTATCCGCCGCGTAGTTGGCATCCGCATCCGCCAGCTGAATGGTCTGAATAGCACCGCCTAGTTTCACAGGATTACTGAGCCGAATGAGCGACATGTCAAAGTCCTGGCTCTGTGGATTGTATTGTGGATGTATGATCAGCTGAGAGATGCCGAAAGTCTGGCCATTTCCAGCGCCCAGATCGTTGGTGCCCACCACCGCCTTCATTTGGCTGGGACTCTGGCCCATTGTGCAGTGAGCCGCAGTCACAATAACCGTATCGGAAATCAAGGAGCCGCCGCAATGATGGCGCCCCTTCAACTGCAGCGACACCTGATGAGGAAACTGTCCCGGCGACGCAAACTGCCCGCCAATAATGCGCGGCACTTCCGCACCCTGGACACCAGGTCCAACGATGGTGAGCAGAAACAGCACCAGCGCAGTCGGTAGCTTGTAGATCGAAGACATTGCAGAACTTGACTATACTGGCTATCTGGTTGGGCTGGTGGTTTTATAGTTAACGTAGCTGGTGCTCTTGGGCCTTATCAACCTAGCAGCGGGGGCTTGGCCGACCCAGTTCCGTGTGCGAATTTGTGTATCGACCCTGAAAAAAAAACACCAGCAAATAAGTCAAGCTACTTTCAATATTAAGAAAAGCTTCTTACCAAGGTTGGAGACTACAGTTGGGTACATGAGATGGTTCCTTCGTGATACAGATAAAAATATTTATATATCATAAATTATAGTAAGCTTAAATATAAAAACTACATACTCAAATGCTTAAAATACAAATTAAAAAATTAGAACAATGCTTTAACTAAAATAACCTTAAGATAGATGATCTTGTATCTTGTATATTGAATAATACATATATACTTTATGGGGCCACAGACATTTCATGTCAAAATGATAAGCCTAAAAAAATAAGACACTTATCCCAAAAAATGTTGAGTAAGCACTCTGTTCATGAAAATATTAGGCCTTTTTTTCATTAGATACAGCCTACTATAAATTCCTATTATAATACTTAGCTCATTGTAAACAAATCTAAGCCTTAGATACCCAGTTCGTACAAGCAAATTGTCGCTGTCTTATCGTAGCTTAGCGGCGGGGGCCTGGCCTGACCCTGTTTCTAGTGCAAAATTTGGCCATTTACAGGTTCGCAAAACAGTTAATTGCCATGGCCTTCTGTGTTTATTGTTTAAGGCAAAAGTGTGTCGGCTTTAACGGATTTTTACTCGTCACCGGAGTACGGATAATTTATGTGATTGCTTTAGGTTTTTAATGGGAAGCGTGAGTGTGATGGCCATTGCTGATCATCCAAACATTCTTCCAGATTTCACGCTTGTAGACGTTGCGATAGTTTTGAACAGAAACCAAAAACTCTGGACCGAAAAGGGTTTGTGTAACAACATTCTCAGCGGCCAGATTGCGATTCGTGGCCGCATGAACAATTACCAAAGGTGAGTTGCTCTGAAAGCAGAAAAGAAGAGAAGTTGGGGCATGTCTCAAGAAATGCATATTAGATCTTTACTTACGGGCAAGGACTCGCCCTCGCTTTCGAAGCGTTTGTGTGGATCGACATGCATGCAAAACCAGTTGGTAAAGGCCGAGGGTATGTCTCCATCGGGGCACATGATTTTCTGCAAGAATACAATTCCTATAGAGATCGAACTATACATGGGTTTATATAATACTCACGCTGCGGTGCACCAGGCCTAGCGGCAAGTTGATTTCCCCGTACTTGCGCGAGTTGAAGGTCGTGTTGATGGCCTGCGAGAGATTGTTCAGTTTGGGTGCGCTGTATAGCAGTATTGGATCATCGGGTGATTCGACGCACTCCAGGCGAAAGCGCTGGCCGTACTTGAGCTTCTCCCCGGTGCGATCGTGGTCATCCCCGCTGACAATGCGATAGGAGTTGCGCACACAGGGCCGCTCCGAGGGCGCCACAGTGAGCTCGCAATCCTCGTTTATGGTTTGACTGGTGCGTATTGCGTGCTCGTTGATGACCACCGAAAGGGCCGGATGCAGCTCTGATGTATCCATATCAAGTATGTTCATATAGATGGGCATTAGCTGGATTGTGGCGCCGATGGTGATATCGTGCTTGGGTGCCGCCAGCTGCACCTCCTTCTGAAAGTTGTCGAAGAGCGTGCGCGCCTTCTCAACCAGCAGCTCGCCGCGGTCGCGCATCTTCCTGAAGCTGACCATTTTGTCCTGCAATTAGACAGATATATATGTATATATATATATATATGAATAGAACAGCTGTAACTTACCTCCTCCAGGCAGATGTCCTCGAACCAATTGCCAATGCGCACATTGGGCCGATAGCGATTCGAGCCCGATTCAAAATTGGAGACTGTGCAAGGCATCGCGTTTATTCGATTCCCTGTGTGTGTGCTGTACTCTTCTTAAAAGCTATCAATTACACACAAAATTTGCTTATCAAACTATATTTGGACAAAGGTTTTTTGTATTATTCAAATTGTTTCAGTGCTGTTGTCGCTTTGAAAATTTGTTTGTTTCTGAAATGGGAAGCATATGTAAAATGTTAATTTGACTGGTACTACAAGGCAACAAATGAAATGGGACATTTTTAAAACAGCTGCCTTTTTAAACTAAACAAGCTTCTCTTTTAGAGTCACACACATATAAATCTGTCGATTTACATCCGATTTTATATTGACTGGCTGATTGATTGCTGAAAGGTGGTCAAATATAAATGAAAAACCTTTGAGGATCTGATTAACAAGCGGCAGGTCGCCGGTTCGAATTCAGCAATCATAAAAAACATAAATGCCTAGTTTGCCATTATTCACTAAAAAATAGAAAAATCAAAGAAATTGAAAAAGCAATGAATCAAGATTGGGGATCAAACCCCGAAAGAACTAATGAGTTTATTAGCTTAAAATAACAGGCACAATGGGGTCGAGCACATTTTCTGGTTGTAGCATCAAAATCACGTTTTAATTATCGAAGAACTGTTGCATACTTTAAGTAACATGGCGTATGTAAAATATATTATGCTTGTTCTATAAACACTTGATGATTTAATTATTTATATGCATTTATATTTATATGTAAGTTGCTTGCATTTACTGGGCAAATATTTGAGAGCATTTGGCTCAGATATCGCTGGCCAACTGACTAAGGCAACAGATGCAACAGCCTCCATGGAGTTGTTTTGAAATGTGGGATCGTGTCATACGTTGGGTGTGCGCTAAATAAGCAGTCATAATAACAACAAATGGCAAAAGAACAAATAAGAAAGACTGGCTAGTGCAGGGACATGGAGGGGACAGACGGTTGCCTGGGTAGATATTATTCATCGGATGATAAGCATTTTATGTGAACAGCATGAGCAACGGGCTTGCTGTTGGCTTAATTGCTGTTGCTGTCGCTGTTGTTGCCCCTAGTGCTATCTGGAACGGCGTGCACTTCACGTGAACGTGATCGGCTCACTCGGCCGATCCACGGCACGTTCCTTATCAAGCCAGCCAAATGCCAGACTAACAACAACGGACTGTCAGTCAATTGGACGGGGCGACATTTATGATCGGGGGCCTTTGCCAGTTTTATGGGAAGACATATTTGCCCGGTCGTTATATCAACATTAGGTTGCCATTATAATTATCGGTTATCAGGTGCAGCACAGCTCTGCACTGATTTATTTCAATTAGTTTGCACTCTACACATTTATGGCTTTCATAATTTTCACTCTATCGAAATGATTGCATTTATTCTCGTATCATAGCATTTGCTTGCTAAGCATCTCTGGCAATCTTAAATCGTTGTATTAACGGACTAAGTCTAAGCATTGACTACAGAAGCAGGCGGTTAAATTTATGGGGAGAGTAAATAACTGTACTTCCCTTGTGCTTAAACTATTTGAGAATTGCCAGAAGATTTGAGCGAGTTCTTAATTTAAGGTTATACGACAAACTGAGCTTCACTTAAAGCTTAATATCAAAACGTAAGTTTTATATGAATTTAAAGGCTTGCAGTATCGCTAATTAACTTCACAGGGGGAAGGAGCGGGCCGGAAATTGAGGTGTTGTATAAATTGCTAAAATTGTTTTGCAACTCTTAAAAAGCTCTGCACACCGAAGAAAAATGATAATTTTTTTTAACATTTCTAATCTGCTCCGCACTCTTCTGCTTCGGTTTATTGAACCTTTTTCTATATTAAATGGTTTATAATTTTAGGTTCTCGCTTCAATTGCAATTTGAACAGGCAATTAGCTCTAAATTGACAGCTTATTCTACTTGCCACGTTTGGCTTGTCAAGCAGATGCCATGCCATGAGCAAATGATGGCATTACAATCTTTTAATCAGCGTTCTAATAGAATTTTGCAATTATTTGATAGTGTGAGTGGTTTTGCCATAAGTTCCGTAACCTACTTTGCCATAACTCTTAAGGTGCTGAACGGGGTCCGCAAAGTGTGCCTGGATGTATCAAGATCTAAAATTGTTAGTCACACCCACTTGTTTTGCTGTCGGCCATTGTTTTACATAGCCAGTCCTGATTATTAGAAGTACCCTCGAAGCAATCAATGTAGGATTCAAATCTGTTCTGATAACGCTTCTCCCTCCTCGAAGCATAGCCTTATCCATGTGAACTGCGCACTCCGCACGACTGATACCACGAAAAACCTGATACTGGCCCATATGCCTACATTATCAATAGAGAGCAGACATATCGGTGCACACGCAAAGTTAATTGCGTCAAACGACTGGCCCCACAGATGATTAAAACGGCGCTACGAGTATTTCAAAATAATATATATTTATAAGATTCTAAGAGGCCCAACTCACGCGCCTCGAACTACGTGCGTTAACAAGAGGGCTCATGGGCGATTAGAGTGGATCGCCATGACTTCATTGATATTCAATTGCGTCATCAAGAACGAGGGGGCCCTTATCCGTCAGTTAACACCCATTCAACTTATCGTATTAACACAAATATTATAAAGCCGTTTTCTTTGCTTGTATCTGAACTTACAAGAAAACACAATAAAAACTTACTTAACTGCGAAATACAGTGTAAGGTCTAACTAACTGACAAAAGGTTCACTTAAGTAAGATGTTAGCAGTAATAATAATACAATTAATTAAACAAATATCTTCCATGAGTGAGCAAAAGTATTGGAATCGTAGTCATCCACTCAAGAGAGCTTTTACTGTAACTTTTTTTACGTCGTGAGGATAGATCCCGTATTCTTTCAAAGTTAATAGGCCGTAGATCATTGTAAAGTTACCAAACTCAAATTACATTTTTTTTTGGGTAATCTTAATATAGCTATCATAAGTTTACGATACACAAAACTCAATAAATAATTAATACCTGAGATTATCCCGAACGATAGTGTCCACATTGATTTAGTAAAGTAAGCAAAGAGTTATATATAAATACATTTCCTTCTTCTTTTTTTTTTTGGCTTAGTGGCGCTACAAGAGTCGCAGCAAATCTAATTTTCTAAAGCTTTCTGTTATTTCCCCATTGTATAACGCACTTGAGACTGTCAAATAATCGCGCCGATAGCCATCGCCGGAGCTTTGTTGCCTGGCTGAACCTTTAGCTGGAAGTGTGTGTGTATGTGAGCTTAATAACGGTTGTGCCATAAACGAAATCATGTGACGCTACCGTTTAACATTCGGCTCCATTCATAAAGGGACATATCGGGAGTTCAATATTTAACTGTTTG